TACTTTTTGAAGCTCTTTCGAACTGTGTATCATTTGTTAAAATATTCCTGATAGTTTTAAAGTTATAGCATATTTTACAAAAACTACCTGTGCTAAGCTACCGGTGCTCAAATCAAGTTGTCACTTCGGGAGCTTATAGAATGTTAAATTCCATAGTTGCGGTTTAAGCAGATTAATTTTAAATTTTTTGGTTAATGAATAAACGAATTTTTACTGATCAAGGTACAATCCGGAAATTAATTTCTTTCCCTGATATTCAATAACCCTTATAATTAATTCATTGGAAAAGTTTTATACATTATATCTGTTTTTCATATTTGTATATTTTAATATTATTTTAGTATAAAGTTTTATATCAAAATCATAATCTTATCGCTAGTTTGGACTGTATCTTGAAGTCCTAATTATTATATTTATTAATAAATGGTGTGCTAATTAAATATTGTCCGGATAGTCAATAACAAACTGCTGATTAGTGTAAAAATATACCCAGAATAAATAGTGTACTAAAAACCTAAAATAATAACAAGTAAATATAAATTAGTATGCTACTTATTTTAACTCAAAATATAAATAAGCTAACTATGCTACCATAACAATATTTACAAAAATATCATATTAATTATGTATTTAATTGAGATAACATTCAGAATACACTGCAGCCTCACACACCCACATCCCTGTCCCCTGTCATACATACCAATCATATGCAAACAGCCGCTGATAAGGAACGGCGTTTTAAGTAGTCGTTTCCGCTCCAGACTGTCATCAATAGTAGTCGTGTTAAACGTGTCGACAGTCGTGATGTTGAGAAGCCAGACATTATTGGTGGAGTTCCAGGTGCCGGCGCACATACCGATCAGCACAAAGTATAGGTATAATTGATATAGGTGCTCCGAGTACGGTATGAATATGACGGTCAGTCCCATGATTAGTAGCACTATGATCAAGGTGAACTGTCGGTTTATGTATTTGTACGGGAAGCCAACTGGTTGGGTACCGGTGCGATCGGGTTTGAAAAGGAAATGGATGTATTTAGTTATTTATAAGTTATTTACAAAGTTTGTGTGTATGTTATGTAATATGTTTTGTATATTGAATTGGTTTTGAATCATATAATACGCTATTTTGTATTCATGTTAAGCGACTTTAATAGTCTGCTTGACGCATTCAATGGAAAGTTTACCTTGTTTACTATATTTTATATTATCTTAAATTAAATCAATTTTGTAATTAAATTACGAATTCATAATAATATTTTCATAATCTAAAATTAATATATCTTGTGATGCTTACATTAGTTAAACTGTAAATTATATTAATTGAGTAAGTTTTAAATATGGTAGTCATTTTAAAAATAAAAAATTATAGGCCAGACAATAAGAATCCAAAAAATATCAAGCTATTTCTAGTAGATTATTCAGTTTCACAAATTAATTAGCTACAGCTTTTAATACAAATAAATTCTAATAATTTTAAAAATATACAAACTCCAGGGTTGGATCTCCCAATATAAATAAATATTGAATTTTTTATAAATTTTAAGTTTTTCAAATATCTATTTACAGTTTTTTATGTATAGAGAAAATAAACTTTAATATAGACATCAAAATTCAAAAGTTTCTAATTTAAATGTAAAGTTAATTTTGAATGTGTAGTTATTTTTTGAGCATTTAATCAACAATTAATGACTTACTCATAGATCCCATGATATAACCGAAACTCATCAACGTCGAGATCAATGCAATCATATTCAGCGATATATTCAACGCGTACTTCAGGTCCACAAACACCTGGAAAAATGTCGAGTTGCATACACCCTGGTCATTGTTTGTAACAATTTAGCATGAATAATTAATTAACTAAGTAGTTAAAAATAATTTATAAACACTTACATATGTAAACTTAGTAAAACACAAGATTGTGGTGTAGGTATACTTTTCCCATGTTGTAATTTCATTATTAGTTGTAATATAGCGAGAAAGATATTTATAACAAATATTACAGTATTCATATAACTTATCTTGATCATGTAAGATTCTATTTTGTTTTTTAAATTCCTTAAGATCAATTGAAATTGTTTCAACGTAATCATTTCTAATTTTAATTTTACCTGTATAAATAATAAATCTCGTTACAACATAATTTAGTAAAACACAAAAATTTATCACGCACATTTTCTAGATAAAATATCATGAAAAAATGAATTTTCCTGAGATTGTAGCACTTCAAGGGTCTCTTTAAAATTACTATCACTTGTTATTGTGTCAGGCATAATTGACCAATTGTTGAACTCTCGCAAAATGTCCTTGCACTCTGGACGTTTTGTCCAGATGCTACTAAACATTTGATTAAATATTTTCTGAATACGTCGCACCGGGATGTTTAATGGGCTTGAATAGGCATTCCTAAAATTGAGTATAGTACATTAATTTTGTAATATAAATATAATATTTCTATGTGGTATGATTAAATAACTTACCTAGTTACGTCCAAGGTAAATATATCAATGTCAAATATTTTCCCACCAATTATAGCCAGACTATAAATATCGCATTTATGTCCATACTTTTGACCTTGCGACACTTCGGGCGCGATATATCTAATATCACCAACGTCGGCTGAGTGTTTATGTATAGTCCTATAGTGGATACGTTTATCATGGACAGTAGCCAGGCCAAAATCACATAACTTAATGAACCTATCCTGGTCACCCGTATTAGTAATCAATATATTTTCCGGTTTTAAGTCTCTATGTATGAACGGGGGCTCCAATTCGTGCAAATACTGGACACACTCGAGTAGTTCGCGAAAAATCTCGCATGATACAAAATATTCAAATATATTCATGGGAGCACCAGGGTCTCTGGTAAATATGGTGGGTTTAATGAGCAATATATCCATGAGACTGTTGAGACCTAGCTCCATTTGAATGTATAGGCACCCGGGTTTGAGCCATGAGTTATAATATTCGACTACATAGGGTGAACGTACTTTTATTAAATTTTGTCCCTCATTTAGACATCGCTCCTTTTCCTTGTCATTAAAATCTATATTCATATATAAATTAGTATTTAATAAATCAAATAGTAAAGGTTCATTCAATAAGTATATACACATTATGGGTTTAGTAAGGCATAGTATGTATGCGTTATGGTTATATTAATTTTCAAATACTGTACACACTTAGAGGATTGAGTTTAATAAATTATTTTTATATTATAATACCTTTAAAATTAATTTGCTTGATGGCGTATATTTGTTTATCAACCTTGTGCAATACTTTATACACGGTACCGAATGAACCCTCACCAAGCTTACTTATTATTCGAAATGTTTGCTCAAAATTTGTTATAATTGACTCTGTGTTAGTGATAAATAAAAGGCATCATTATTAAGCATGTTATATTTTAAAACATATTTTATTATTTCTATAAACGTACCAGTATTTTCTGTGTCCATTTCTGTTTCATCCATGTTCAATGACAATTACCTACTGCAATAATTTTTATAAATTATTTCAAATGTTTATTTAAAATATTACACCATCACACCCATTAGTATACTGTACTGTACATTGTATAATATACATAATAAATAAACTTATTTGCAAATAGATACATTTAGTTTATAAATTATAATTAATCAAGACTTTAATTTTAAATACATAATTATATAGTTTAATTATTTAATTTAATAATTTTATATAAATTATTTTTAATTTTTTAGCACGCATAAATGTTATCATCACTTTTAAAGCAACATTAAAATATATTTTTAAACATACATTGCATATGTTTTGAAAATATACTGATGTTATATGATTATTGCTAAGCAATAAGACCTTGTACATTGGAAGACCTTCATACTAACTAAATATATTAGTTTACTTTTTATAAACTACATAATAAATTAGATAGTTATCAAATGTCCACAATTTGTATGCGACCTGGGCTCGTTTATCCAGTATTTAGACATCACTAGAAATTTGACAGCAATTCAGTACTTATCGCATATTAAACACCAATTATTAGACAATTTATTGACCAAAAAATATCGCTACAAATACTACCGACAAATGAATTTCATTACCAAGCACGTTTCATGGCCATTATTAATACAATTATCTACGAACTCTATGCTATTATTCTGTTCCCCTCCCATAATAGACTATATCATGAATCCGGACACAGAATATTCCGTATGGAGTATCGCATTCTGGACGCCGGTATCACTGGTAGCTATTGTAGACTTTT